GAAATTGTGTCTGTTTAATTTCCATTATTTTCCTTTAGAGCTCAGTAAATATTAGTGGAATAAATGAATAAATGCAATCATTGAAAAACTGAAATAAGCTAATTTTGTAGTAATTTTTCCTGGAAGAAAACAACCAGACGTATAAGAAATTGTGTTTGTGAGATGTGAATTATCCAGATTAAAGGTCTACATTTATCTAAAGATAAAAGGCATAGTAACAAACGATGTATAGATAAGAATATGTTTGTGTCCTTGCTCTACTATTTATTAACTGTGTTACTGCTGGTAGTTAAATCTCTCTTTACCTCAGTTTCCACAATAAACATTGGTCTCTTATTCCTTTTGCTTTTTTTCATGCAAATAGAAAGGGTAGGAATATATCCAAGTTTGGAGATACTATTACAGTAAAAACACTCACCATTTTATAAAGAAAGTTTTTTAAAAATAGTATTAATCATGAATCTCCATCAAATTAATTATCACATTATCTTCTATACATTCTATATCAAATATATAAAGAAAATTGTTGTATTTCTTCTATACATTTTTGCCCTTTCAGAAAAAAATACATAAAAAACTCAAAATGAAAAATAACACCTTTGGATACTACCACAAGTTTTTTACATATCAAACGAATAATCATCATCAATTTAAATAAGATTTGCATAAGATAAAAATTTACATAAGATATCCTTTGGCAACATTTACACTTAAAAATTCTGATCAGACTACCTGAAGGTCATATTTTGTATTTAAAAAAATCAGTACCTAATGTAAACAATTTAAATGCAACATTATATTATAAATAAACATACATAAATATGTACACTCATATAATATAATAACCCTAGGCAATCTCTATAAACTTTAAATAAATATACTAAAAAGGGACTCTAAATATGCTTTTGCATGAATTTAGAGCTCCTTTACTAATATGAGCAAAAAAAAGTGATAGAACATAAGTGTTATAAGTAAAATAATTTAAGCTCCTTTTGCTTACTGTGTTTCTTACCCTCTCCTACTTCAGGAGATACGGGAAGGAATGTAAATAAACACTGAAATTTTCACAATAACTTGTAAGTCTAGGGGGAAATGTCATTGCCTGGAGAATAACTTTGTCTTACTGACACTCATATTCTCAACGTTTAAACTTGTCTGTCGGATGAACGAACGGAAAGAAGTTTAAAAGTATAATATTCTGTAACTAAACATGTATTTTTTGCTTTTTTTTGTCTTTTTGTCTCAAGACCCTGAACCTACTGATCAGAGCCATTTGTTTCTTGTACACAGCTTTATATCACCAAAAGCAAAGATATATTAATATATTGACTTTCTGGTGATATGTGTAAAAACTTAGTATAGAAACAACAATTTGGAAG